TCGCTTTTGGTTTTGAGACAATGGTGGGAATATCCAGAAAGCTCTTGATGCATGCCCAGTCTCTTGCTTTAGCGACTGATGACCCTCAATGATGTGGCTGGGGACTTCCGGGAAGAGTGGGTTACCTGGACGCTGCTTAGAGACTCCTCTTCAGGGATACCACCCAGCACAGTTAGCAGAATGGGCTCTCAAAGGGTAAGGATGGCCTTTGCGCCCCCACCTCCCGCCTTTTTTTCCCCTTACAAGTGTTTGTCTTTTTCTCATGACTATGTTGACTGTTGCCCTTCTGGGAAAATTTTAAAGTCCAACATTATAATTAACTTCCTTGATTCTTTCTAAGGGTGAGGTCCTGGCAGCATTGTTTCTGACAAGATTCACTCTCCATATGGGTGTGGGCTTGTGTCTTCAGAGATGCAATATTACGCTTACTGTAGAGTTTCTATCACCCGTACCTGTTGTTGTTTTTAATGGAAAGAAAAGGGCTTTTTCTCAGCCTCTTGGAGAGAGTGTTTGATCACTCCGTCACAGCAGCCCTTCCAGCAAGACCAGATCTCCATGACCGTTGCCCTGTGTGTTCTCAGCCTGGGAAGGAGGGGGGCTCGCCTACCGGTCAGGCCTGTGCGGATGGCTGAGTGACCTTCTGTGTTTATCTTCCGGGATAGGATTTCCAAACCCAGTGTAACCTCCGGCTGGGGCAGGGAGAAGAGCCATGGGTCCTGCCGCTCCACAGTTTGGAGGCAAGGAAGGTCCTAAGGGCAGGTCACACAGGTGAGGTGGGGCTCTCGTCTGGAGGGGGAAATCCAGCATTGCAGCCTTTGCTTAGGTGAGGAATTCTGAATGCTGCCCTAGACTTTTGTTCTTACTCTTAGAAATTTAAACTTGACTCCTTGGGCAGTCAGTAGTTGACCACATTAAGTCTTCATTTTAAATAAGCATTTCACTTTTGTCTAGACTGTATCATCTTTGAAAGTAGTTGACTGATTTTGACAATATGTTATGTTTTCTTGAGGGATGTTGAGGTCACCTCAAAATTCATCTGGCCATCTTAAAAAAGCTTAGGAATCCATGTGTTTTCAATGAACTTCAGTAAACTTTTGCATGAAGGGAAAACAGAGTAATCTAATTAAGTGTAGTCTTGCAAAAACACTAATTTTAATCTTTCTTGCTGCTTTCTGATATGTTTCCTGATAACTGAGAACTTTATTCTCTGTCATTTCTGTTCATTTTTCAGACTTTGAAAATCAGGTGGCAAAACTCAACCGGGCCGTTTCTGAAGCAGCAGGACAGTGCGCAGTATCCTCAGAAAGGGCCGATGAAGATGTTTCTCATACTCCTAGCTGGGGAGGAAACTGGGAGAGAAGCTTTGAATTCGAAGGGCAACGTGGGACCCTTCCAGGAGAGGGCCAACAGAAGCCCTTCTCACAGGAGCAGCATTTAAACAAGCTCCTGGATGGATATGTAAGAAAGAAGCCTGTGTGTGCAGAATGCGGAAGAAGCTTTAACCAGAGCTCCTATCTCATAAGACACCTAAGAACCCACACTGGTGAGAGGCCGTATAAATGCTTCGAGTGTGGGAAAGGCTTCAAACAGAGTTCAGACCTCGTCACCCATCGCAGAACACACACAGGAGAGAAGCCCTACCAGTGCAGTGGGTGTGAGAAAAAATTCAGTGACAGCTCAACCCTCATTAAACACCAGAGAACCCACACAGGTGAGAGACCCTATAGGTGCCCAGAGTGTGGGAAGACTTTCGGGCGGAAGCCACACCTCCTAATGCACCAGAGAACCCACACGGGAGAGAAGCCCTACACGTGCCTCGAATGCCATAAAAGCTTTAGTCGAAGCTCAAATCTCATCACCCATCAGAGGACCCATACGGGAGTGAAACCTTATGGGTGTAATGACTGTGGGGAGAGCTTCAGCCAGAGCTCGGATCTGATGAAGCACCGGCGAACCCACACGGGAGAGCGGCCCTTTGCCTGCCCGGAGTGTGGGAAGGGCTTTCGAGACAGTTCTCATTTTGTAGCTCACATGAGTACTCACTCAGGAGAAAGGCCTTACAGTTGTCCTTACTGCCACAAAAGTTTCAGTCAGAGCTCACATCTGGTCACGCACCAGAGGACACACACAGGGGAGAGGCCTTTTAAGTGTGACAGCTGTGGGAAAGGATTCGCCGACAGCTCGGCCCTTATTAAGCACCAACGGATCCACACGGGAGAAAGACCCTATAAATGTGGCGAATGTGGGAAGAGCTTCAACCAGAGCTCCCATTTCATTACCCATCAACGAATCCACTTAGGGGACAGACCTTATTGCTGTCCCGAGTGTGGCAAAACCTTCAATCAGCGTTCCCATTTTCTCACACACCAGAGAACACATACGGGAGAAAAACCTTTTCACTGTAGTAGATGTGACAAGAGCTTCCGTCAGAAAGCACACCTTTTATGCCACCAAAACACCCATTTGGTCTAGGAAATGGGCTCATGGCTCTGCTGCTCCTTCCAAATTTCCACGGCTGACCTCTTCAAGTTTGTCTTCAAATAGAGATAATCTGAATGTGGGCGTCAGCAGCTCAAGTTGGGCCTCAATCTGTTCTCTCTGTTTCCATGCTCTAATGGGGAGGATACACCTATAGAGTCCAAATAACACACTGAACAAAAAAGGCTTTCAGTGTTCCTGACTGACTCTTAGGGAAATGTGAGTTTAATGGTTGATGCCTGGTTACTGAAAGGGAAGTGAGATAAATGCAGTCACATTATCACTATTAGTGGTTAATATCTGAGATCATATAAAGCCCTTAATATACTGTCTGACCCTTAAAAGACACTCAGCACAAGGTCAGTTGCTTTTATCAGCCTTATTACTCAATAAGAGAGTTATTAGTATACCCCTACAGGCCCAGAACATGCAAGACATTAGATTGGAGCTAGAGGATGTGGGGTGGGGACACAGATTTCATGAAACGGGAAGCACCCCCAGAGCAGTGCTACGCTGGCATCAGTCACCAGATGTCTCATTACCATGACAAGGCAGAATTACTGTAAAGGGTTCTGCGGTCTTGTGATTTAGAGGCTGAAAGAGTTTCAGAAGCTCTCTGCACAGCAGCGTCTGAGGTACTCCCACCGCAGGTTTGCTGCCATCGAGGCGTAGGAAACATCCTGTGATAAATCAGCCCGAGGGACCTGGAAGAGGACTGTGAAACTGGGAGCAAAGGGGCTGAGAACGTTAAGTGAGGTTACAAGGGGCCTTCCTGGCATTTAACTGAAAGAAACAACTCTTATACTCTAGTTTGTTGGGTCCCTGGCCCCTTGATTCTAAGTCAATGCAACTCTCTGACCCTTCTGGGGCAATTCGTTTCATACACTAGTGTATTCCTGCATTTGATTGAAATAAACTGAGGGAAGGCAGTGTGTCAGGAAGAACACTGACTTCATGTGAAGGGGAGGTGTTCAAGCCCTGGCCTGACTTGACTTGGCCAGACTTTCACCTTCTCTCAGCCTCTGCCTTACCCACCTCACAAGGTTGTGCACATCACACATACACACACACACACACACACACACACAAGCACTTTGTTGTTGAACTACACAGTGTAATACCTAGAAAGTTTAACATGACAGTATCATTGCTAAGGTCTTTTTTTTCCAAGGAATTCCAGCTAATAGTTCTCCAGGTGTCCCATTTTCTTTCATAATGACAGACTTCTTTTTTTACCTGTTGAAAACGTAAGGCCTGGAAATGCTAAATGACTCGTGGGTCACCTAGTTTACAGAAGAGCCAGAATTTGGCTGCAGGTCTCCTGAACCACATGGAGCAGACCAGCTCTGGGATTTGTTAGTGTCTCTGAGACGCTCCTGCATGTTGATAAGCTCGCCGGGTGACTGGGACACACACTCAAGTTAGAGAACCACTGCTTTACATGGTGTCTCTTTTACTAAATAGCCACAGGGCTATTACTCCTGAAAAAATTAATGATTTTGTAGTATCATCAGATATTCCAGTTAACACTCGCATTTCCTTATTTTTTTGTTTTTGTTTTTTAGTTTCTTTGAATCAAAATTCAAATAAGATCTCTACATTCCATTGGTTGGTAACATTCCTTATAAATCTTGCTCTAAATCTCCCCCTTCTCTCTCTCTTTCTCTGTCCTTTTCTTGTAACTTACTTGTTGAAGAAAGCTGGGTGACCTGTGGTGTCTCCTATAGCTCTGTATGTCGCTGTTGGTCCTTAAACATGCTCCTCTATCCCCTGCTTTTGCAACATACTGTAGTTGGTCTGTAAACATGATCAGATTCAGATTTTGGGGGGCAAGAATACTCCATAGTGATCTTACGAACTTCTATCAGGAGGTACCCCATGGTATTAAGTCCTTACATGAGTAGCCACTGGGGAGCCCTTGTTTCACTTGAGTTTACCAAATGGCGATACTTTATTTCTATTGTTCCTTCTTCATTTATTAGCTGGAAGACTTCTACAGAAAGAAATCCCCTTTATCAACTCATTAGTTTCCCTGAGGTACAGTCTATATAAAAACAGCACAGTAGCTGTTTGATTAGAATTCCTTCAGTTTTTAATACCACTATGTAAATTTCAGCCTCCATGCCCTAGATTTCTAAGCCCATTCCAGTGAGAGACTGGCTTCTGAGAGGGCATTTACAAATGCGTAAATCTCATAATAACTTTTCTAAAGTACTTCGTTGTTAATCTTCTGCCTCACTCCCCTCCAGTTTGTCTAGATTCTGCCTAGTGGTGCGCTAAGAGCTCAAGGAATGCTCCAGTGATTCTTTAGCCAGGAATGGACTCTCTAACGTGCAATTAATATTTTCCAATACTATCGTGGCCTGAAACAGGAAAGGAAACAACACCCCTATTAGCAGAGAATGATTTTACATCCCTTTTATGGTACTATGAGAGTAAACTACATTATTTTATCTACCTAAGTGTTGTTCTAAATCAAATATGATCAATATGTTAAACAACAGCAATGATTTAACACACACACACACACACAAGCACTTTGTTGTTGAACTACACAGTGTAATACCTAGAAAGTTTAACATGACAGTATCATTGCTAAGGTCTTTTTTTTCCAAGGAATTCCAGCTAATAGTTCTCCAGGTGTCCCATTTTCTTTCATAATGACAGACTTCTTTTTTTACCTGTTGAAAACGTAAGGCCTGGAAATGCTAAATGACTCGTGGGTCACCTAGTTTACAGAAGAGCCAGAATTTGGCTGCAGGTCTCCTGAACCACATGGAGCAGACCAGCTCTGGGATTTGTTAGTGTCTCTGAGACGCTCCTGCATGTTGATAAGCTCGCCGGGTGACTGGGACACACACTCAAGTTAGAGAACCACTGCTTTACATGGTGTCTCTTTTACTAAATAGCCACAGGGCTATTACTCCTGAAAAAATTAATGATTTTGTAGTATCATCAGATATTCCAGTTAACACTCGCATTTCCTTATTTTTTTGTTTTTGTTTTTTAGTTTCTTTGAATCAAAATTCAAATAAGATCTCTACATTCCATTGGTTGGTAACATTCCTTATAAATCTTGCTCTAAATCTCCCCCTTCTCTCTCTCTTTCTCTGTCCTTTTCTTGTAACTTACTTGTTGAAGAAAGCTGGGTGACCTGTGGTGTCTCCTATAGCTCTGTATGTCGCTGTTGGTCCTTAAACATGCTCCTCTATCCCCTGCTTTTGCAACATACTGTAGTTGGTCTGTAAACATGATCAGATTCAGATTTTGGGGGGCAAGAATACTCCATAGTGATCTTACGAACTTCTATCAGGAGGTACCCCATGGTATTAAGTCCTTACATGAGTAGCCACTGGGGAGCCCTTGTTTCACTTGAGTTTACCAAATGGCGATACTTTATTTCTATTGTTCCTTCTTCATTTATTAGCTGGAAGACTTCTACAGAAAGAAATCCCCTTTATCAACTCATTAGTTTCCCTGAGGTACAGTCTATATAAAAACAGCACAGTAGCTGTTTGATTAGAATTCCTTCAGTTTTTAATACCACTATGTAAATTTCAGCCTCCATGCCCTAGATTTCTAAGCCCATTCCAGTGAGAGACTGGCTTCTGAGAGGGCATTTACAAATGCGTAAATCTCATAATAACTTTTCTAAAGTACTTCGTTGTTAATCTTCTGCCTCACTCCCCTCCAGTTTGTCTAGATTCTGCCTAGTGGTGCGCTAAGAGCTCAAGGAATGCTCCAGTGATTCTTTAGCCAGGAATGGACTCTCTAACGTGCAATTAATATTTTCCAATACTATCGTGGCCTGAAACAGGAAAGGAAACAACACCCCTATTAGCAGAGAATGATTTTACATCCCTTTTATGGTACTATGAGAGTAAACTACATTATTTTATCTACCTAAGTGTTGTTCTAAATCAAATATGATCAATATGTTAAACAACAGCAATGATTTGTAAAAATGAGAACAACAGATAAGGAAAAAGCCTGGCTGGCAGAGGTAAGGGGTAATTTGTGTGAATTCCAGGGGTACCATCTCTCTGGGAGTAGAAGTGTTTTGTTTAGGGGTGGGGTGCAGAATGAGAAAGTACAGAACTGAATATGATAACCCTTAGACGTGACCTTCTGAGAATTTTCCACTGGATTAATGTAAGATGTCCTGGAAGGTGTCCCACAAGAGGGAGCCCGTTAGAGGACACAGAGGGACACAAAAGGTACGTTATCAGCACAGCAGGCATAGCCCTAAACCCTGCCAGGAACGTGGATGTGCTCATTGTCTGACTGGCCCTAGAGTTAGGAGGCAGGATGTGGAAGCAGCACAGAACCAGGGGTCAGAAGACCCAGAATCTAGTTTGGGTGCAGGTGTTTACTAGCCAGCTGTGCTCAGACACATCAGTCGATCATTCTAGGCTTCAGTCTGTCTGTTAAATCAGGACAAGATCCCTTCTGGTTCTAAAACTTTACAAACCTCAGCTCCCTCAGAACCCAGTACTGCCTGATGTGAGCTGGCTCTTCCACATGAGAGCCGGCTCTTCTACCTTCATTCCGGGAAGATAAAAGCAGGCAGTCTTTAGCCTGGGTCCCCCTCCATCTCCCACTCCTCAGCCCTCCCCGTGTCTTGGAAGAGAGGCAGAACCTTAGGCTGCCAGCGGTCAGCACACTACCTCCTCGTTGAAGACCTTCCTGGCCTCCGGCCCATCCTATCACTACTTCCTGACAGTATTTAACAGACACAGGTCCTTGGCTTGTCATATATCGAGTCTTTTTTACCCCCACCCCCTTTTGAGTCTTTTTCTATCACCCTCTTTTTCATATTGTACATCTACAGAAGTGTCTATCCTGTAAGAGGTGAGCTTTTGAGAGGCATGTGTGACTTGCTTTGTGGCTCTGTCACTCCCCCTCATGCCCCCCGCCATGAGCAGGAATGCTTACATGCTGTTGGTGAGGGTTGACGTAACTGACTTTCCATATTCTTCCTTTGTTTCTACCCTGTGACTAGGCCATTGGCTTCTTGCACTGCCTTCCACCTCCTCTCTCCCTGACTTCAAAATCTACATCCTCACCGAGCCCTATCGATTTCACCTCCCAGATTACTATCACAGCCCCTCATCTCCACTGTCACTCTCCAGTCCCAAACATCCAGCTCTTGTCTGAATTCCATCGTAGCCTCCTAACTGATCTCTCAGATGTTAGTTTTGCTCTGATTTCTTCTCATAGAAGCCAGAGTGTTCCTTCAAAGTCCTAAATCTAATCACATCACCTATCTGTTAAAAACCACAACTCCCATGGCTTTAAGGATAAAGACCCAAATCTTTAACCAGGCCCACAAGGCCCCCCTTGGCTCAGCTCCCTCCCCCAGCTTCTGGTAGCACCTTGCCTCTCCCTGTGCTTCAGCCTGCGTTTGTTCTCTCTGTCCCGGATCTTACCAATATTGTGTGCACCTTAAAGTCTTGGTACTAACTGTTCCCTCTGCCCAGAATGTTCCTTGCCCAGATCTTTGTTTAGGTTCCTATTTGTCAGCCAGGTTTTAGCCTAAAATAAAACTCACCTTCTTGCAGAGACTTTTCCTGAAATCTAATCTAAATTTGTTCTCCCCCAAGTCATGCTCTGTCCCATTATCCTCTTTTATTTGCATCAAAGTCCTTACACCTGTCTGACATTTTCTTGTTTACCTACTTGTTTTGATAGGAAGGAGTCATTTCTCTTGTTTACCATTCTATCACCAGCATCTATTCCAGTGCCTGGCATGCAGTAGGTGCTCAGTTATACTCACTGGCTGGATCAATGGATGCACCCTCCCAGGCAAGGAACTCATTGTGCTGGAAAAGCAACACTGAGATGAAGCTGGACAGGTAAGTGAGGGTCACACCAAGAGGGTTCTCAGTCGCCAAACTGAGGGGTTTGGATATCATTCTCTGAGGAATGGGGAGTCACTAACAGTTTTCCAGTAGAGGAGAGGCATAATTAGCACTTGAGCAAGTTTGATTTGGCAGCTATATGTAAGTCACGTTACAGAAAGAAAAACAAGGCTTTGAGACAATCCGTGATGTAAAGGGCTTAGCACAGTGCCTGACCCACGCGGACGCTCCAACAAGTGATTGTCATCACCAAGCACCGTGGCAAGTACTGGGAGATACCGGAACAGAAAGGCAAGATCATTCAACTTCTCTAGTTCAAAATAATTCCGTCTAGACCCCACTGTCAGATTCATTCTTTTTCCTTTTTGTCGGACTTCCACTAGCATGTGGTTATTCTCAGGGTTCATGTCTGGGCTTTTTTAATAGGGCTTCCCACCCTTAGCATGCCTCTGGCTTAGATTTCACTTTTTCCTTTGCTTCCCATATTTTGCTGGTGCCAAGTCACGTAGCCTCTGCCTCTACACGGTCTCTCTCTCTTTTAAATATAAAAGCAGCATGTGCTTTCTGTAAAAATTTCCAAAAAAATACAGAAGTGCCCAAAGTAGAAAAATGGAAATGCCGTGTCTTCCTCCTTCCCTCCCCCAATCTCACTCCCAGATTTCAGCTCTGTAAGGGCCTCGCATGCCAAGTTTTGTTTCTAGCGCCTTTGTTCCACGCCTGCTGCCACCCCCTGCAAAAGGGATAGCTTAGGGATGGCTTTCCTTCTGGTCTCCTTGACTTTCCCCTTCAGTTCAGCCCAATGAACATGTATTGAGTGCTTACTTCACACCGAGTCCTGCACTAGACCCTGGAGGTACATGGATAAATAGGATAGTGAAAGACGTCCACATTTAGGATCTGAATCAAGGGCTTTGGCCCAATTACTGATGCTCTCTGACCCTTATTTCCGTATCTGTAAAGTCAGAATAATCCTAATACCTTCCTCACAGGGTGGGGTGGGGAGTAACCAGGTGACCCACAGGACATTCTCTGCCCACTCCCTGCCACATTTTATCTGCTCCACAAATTTCAGTGATGATGACCATGATAAACTCCACCTTGGAGGCGTTTGTAGTTTTTTAATGAATACGAATTATCTAGTTGAAGAAAGATGGGAAAATATTTTTGGGAAAGGGGAGACAAGCCATTTAACTGAAATTAAAAGGCAAAGGTACAGAGTTGGGAGACTGAAAGGTAAGAGCTTAGACTCATACTCCAAGAGTATTTCTCAAAGTGTGGGGCAAGGATCCCCTGCATTTGATCTGGAAGTCTTGCATGGGGCAGTTGTTCAAAGTGCAGATTTAGTGGCCCACCTCCCACCAATCTGGTAAATTCACACAGCAGAATACTGTACATCAGGGAAACTGAACAAGCTTCAGTTTATGCTGATAAGCCTCCAAAACTCAATGTCAAGCACAAAAAATAAGAATAATATATATCGTAAGGCTTAAAAAGTAATCAAGACAAAAACAGGCAAAACTGAACAAAATATTGCTTGAGCAATAGGGACATACACATAAACCGTAATGAAATTCAGGGTGGAGGTTAACTGGAATGGGGAAGAAGAATGTTAAGTTTCTATTTCTTAAACTAGGTGCTGGGTACACAGGTTTCCTTTTTATTATAATTCTTTATATTAATATGGATTATTTACATACTTTTTATTTGCAAATATTTCACAAGAAAAAAAACCCCTAAAAAGCAAATAGGAAACAGAACACTCTTCTAGGGAGCTTTTCCATTTAAACTTCTTAAAGTTGAGTTACATTACGAAAAGAAAAAGGTGGTCCAAGTACCCGGGCCTGAACACACATCAGCCAGTTCCCTCCTTTCTTTCTCAATCCCACACTCATACTTTTTCATTTTTCTTTCAACTAAAAAAAGAACCCTCCCTTATGTAAATTGTGCCAAAAAACATCCAGTGGCTTAAAGGCCTGCCCTTCTGTAAACAGCCAAACACAGATGCCTATTTGGATGCAGGATGCGCAGCTATATTAAAAATGCTCTCGTGATCATCTTTTTTTTCCCCCAGAAAAAAAAAAAAAGTTTCCACGTTTTAGATGATTTCCACCGGGAGTGAACATTTTTACAGCTCTTGTTACTTGCTGCCAAATCGTTCACTGAGCAAATTGTACCAATTTATAATGCTATCAGCAATAAATGACTGCCAGGTTCACTACACCCTTGCCCTTGAGAGAGTTTTGCAAATTTAATAGACGTGATTCTTACATATTGTTTCAATTTGCATTTCTTTGATTACCAATGAAGTCGAACATTTTTCTTATGTCAGCTTTCTTGTGGTTCTTCTGCTGTCTGTCATCTGTGCACTGAGAGTGTAGGATCAGAATACTTGCCTGTTCAGCTTTGAGGAAGTCACTCTTTGTCTGTTCCTTTCCCTTCTTTTTCCCTGCTTTGTTATTTTTTTACTTCATAAGTTATACATATTCATTTTAGAAATATCAGAAAATACAATTAAGCAAACAAGCAAGGTAAAAATCACCTGTTATCCCACCTTCCAGAGATAACCACCCCTATTTATTGTACATCCTTTTTTAAAATTGAAGTATCATTGATCTACAGTCTTGTGTTGGTTTCATATATACAACACAGGGATTCAAAAGTTACCCATATTATTAAATCCTCATCCCCTCTAGTGCTGTTACTATCTATCAACATAGAAAGATGTTACAGAAATACTGTATATCCTTTTAAAGTTTCTTCTAACAAAATAGTCACAAATATATTACTCAACCTTTCTAAGCCTGTGTCCTCATCTATAAAATAGGAATACTTGTCTCTCAAGTTGATAACGAAATGAGCTGGTATATGTGAACGTGATTTATAAGGTGCAGGATGTTATATAAATGCAAGTTCCTGCATTTATAACGTAAGAGACCCTTCGCTGTGCCAAGGTTGATGATGACACTTTGTTCCCTGAACACAGCCTGCCCTCCCCAGTACAGTTTCTTCTCTCTAGAATGACTTCCTGCCTCAATTCTTCTTAACAAACAAGCATCCACTCTATTTTTTAAAAATTCAATATGTAGGATATATAAAAGGTATACAAGGTAGGGCAAAGAATAATCATGTACCTGCCACACAGCTTAAATAAAATTTTACCTACACACTTAAAGTTGCCCGTGAACTCCTCCCGAGGTACAGTCCTGTCTTCAACCCATATTCCACAATCCTGATTTTGGTATTTCTCAGTCTGTGTTATTGTGATTGGTAATAAGAAATACATATTTGGTTTTTGTCACCATTTCAGGCACAGAGTTCCTAAACCCTTGGGATTTCCTAAGTGTGAGTGAGAGTGATAAAAGTGTCTTCTGCTCTCTGAAGTGAGTGACTTCTGGAAGGACCTGGAATGGGGAGCCAACCGTGTGATGAGAAGGTGGGAGTTTTCAGTTCCCCCCCCAGTGATTTGATCAGTCATGCCTGTGTGATGAAGCCTCCGTAAACACCCAGTGGACGGAGTTCAGAGAGCTCCTGTCTGGTGAACTTCTGGAGCCTGGGAGAGCGGTGCCCATGGGGAGCACACGGAAGCTCTGCGCCCTTTCTCCATGCCCTGCCTGGGCATCCCTTCCATCAGGCTGTTCCTGAGTTACATCCTTTTGTAATAAACTGGTGACCTCGTAAGTAAACTGTTTCTCTGAGTTCTGGAGCCACTCTAGCAAATTAATCCAAATGGAGGAATAGGATCTGGGAACCTCCGATTTATAACTAATCTGTCAGAGGCAGAGGTAACAGCCTGGGCTTGCAATCAACATCCGGGGAGGGGTTGGGGAGGGGTAGTTTTATAGGACAGAACCCTTAACTTGGGGAATATGATGCTATTTCTGGGTACATAGTGTCAGAACGGAGTTGAATTCTGGGGACACCCTGCTGAGAATTACTTGCTTGTTGGTGCTGGGGAAGCCCTCCCCCCACTACATTGGAAACTGAGTCTCAAAGACACTCCTACGCCCTTACATTTATTTATGCTTTCTCTTTCTCTTTGTATATATATTTACATAGACACACTGATATGAATCCCTAAGCAGTGTATAATATTGGTTTGCATAAACTTGTTTTGAATGTATATGCATGGGTATCAAGGTGAGTATCCTATACTTGACAATATCATGTTCCTGAGGATCATCCATGTTGGTACATGTAATTGCACTTCATTCATTTCCTTGCTTTCAAACTCAGTGTACGATCATACTGCAATTTATCTGTTTTCCTGATGGTGGACATTTAGGTCATTTCTGGGTTTTGCTGTCACAGAAATGGTCATTCTGGCAATGAACATTTTGGTATGTCTCTTTGTGTACATGAGTAGGAGTTTTCTCTGGGTATTTATACCTAGGAGTGGAATTCTGAGGGCATAGGGTAAGTGAATCTTTACCTAGATGTTGCCAAATTACTCTCCAAAGCGGCTGTACTCATTTCCATTCTCACCAGTAGTGTATAAATATTCTCTTCACTACTCCTGTTTGTCAACACTTAGTTTTGTCAGACTTTTAAATTCTTCAGTCTGATGGGTGTGAAATGACAACTCATTGAGGTAATATGCATCAACCCGATTGGTAGGAAAGTTGAATTTTTACAAGTTTATTGATCATGTTGCCTCCTCAGTGAATTCTATGTAAATTCATAAAGTACCCATTCTTAAAGACCCCCTTAAAAACACTTCCTCTCTATGAAATATTTCTCGACCTCCTCCATCAAACAATAGGATCCCCTTTGGCTCTCTAAAACCTCTTTATACCTTAGGTTTCACTTATTTTTTATTTCATCTTGCACAGTCATTTGTGTGCTTGTCTGAAGGGCAGAGACCATGCTTAAATAAACTTGATGCCCTTGTTAATACCTTGTGCAAAATAAACATTTAATAAATCTTTGTTGAAACAAATTATGTTCCTCCCCTGCTTAGAAAATCTTAGTTTCCTATTGCCTACAGGAGAGAGTTGAATCTCCCTATTGTTGAACTTAAGACACTTACGTGGGCGCTGGCCTCGGCTTTCCTTTCCTGCCTCCTCTCCTGGTATGACCCTGCCTTTCTGCCCAGATACCAGATTCCTTATCCACAATGGGGTCCCAGCCCACAAACGTTTGGATTCTCTCCCAGCAGCCAGGATGGCATGTTGATCTCGCGTATTTCAGTTGCCCATCAGATTATTTCAGGGACAATCTAGGGAGCCTGAAGCCAAAGGCTGCTATTATTATTGAGCAGGGCTTTTGCTCTGAATCTACCATTTATTGACCAGGAGTATGTACATGTCTTATTCAGGTGACTTGGGTTGAGTGAAGGAAACCTGAAGCATTGAAGTTCAGCACCTTAGCCTGGAGTCTAAGCCCCAGCAAAGCCTGTCCTACCTCTTCCAAACCAGAGGCATATCACAGACAGATTATGTGAATACATGCCCAACCCCACATTATGTTTCTCCAATTTATTCAGTTTAATTCAGTAAACACTCATTACGCACCTATTACATCCAGGCCCAATCCAAGGTGCTGGGATATAGCTTACACATGACAATTTTCTCAAGAAGCACACAGAGTAGCTGGGGGACAAAGATGTATAGACACATAGTTTCAATATGAAGAAGAATATGGGAGCCAGAGAAGGGTTACCCTGAGGATCAAGGAAGGCTCCCTGGAGGAGGTGTCCTTTAGGTCAGTTGGTGTATGAATGAGTAGATGAATACACGCATGATGTTGGAATTAAGCTTTGTTTAAGCTTTACATGTGAATTCTGCCATATATCTAAGACACGGATCTATGTGGGTGTTGCCAAAGATTCCACCAAACTGAACGACGTGATTGTGCTTATGGTTTGCAGAACCCATCTCTGTACTGTGAGGAGGTGGTCAGAACTTGGCCACTTTCCTACCAGACCGGATGTGGGTCTGGTTAACTGACTGGTGTCTTGGGAAGGAACAGGGCTGCATACATGTGTACCTCCCCCATTTTTGTCTCTTTTGTCTTTACATACCTTTGGAGTCTTGCAGTATCCTACACACCCCATTCTGGCAATACAAGTGGTGGTAGAAATATCACCAATCGGCCTGACTCTCATAAGAGGCCCAGGGGGGGTTTCCACATTCCACTTCTGGAAGAGCCCATGGGAAAGTGGCATTCCACAGAGGATGTGAGCATTCTGCCACCTGAATTCAGTCACAAAGAGAATGAGGACTGACAAAGGAAGAGCATATTTGTGACCTCTCTCACCAAGAGCGGCCCCCGGTTCCCAGCCAAAGACCCTGGTACCTGAGGAAAGAGGAGGGCACAGCCTCTGCAAGGCCGGGGCCCCTGTCCAGAGAGGTGCCACTGGGGCTTCTGGAAGCATCATGTAGCTTCTGCTCTTCAAGGAGAGGGAAGGGAGCTGGAAAGTAAGTGGGGCCCATACACCCACGCTTGTGCCCATACACAGTACATTCGCAGTTTCCTGGCTTCTTTTTACTCTCTTCCACTAACTTGTACTCTTTCACACCCTTTTTGCTAGTCTTCCCTGGAAGTCTTGCTTAAATAACACCTCTCCTAGGAAACCCTCCTATTATCATGTAGTAAAAATCAACTGTTCTCTGATCTGTGTGCCCTGGACTCTCTCTTGACATCTGAAGGCTCTTTGGCAGCACTTTGCCACGTCTGCTCCACTGTGTTCTTTGGTGGATGTGGCCTCACAGATCTCCCAACCCGGTTCTCTCAGTAGCCACCCCCATGGATGACGGCTGGCCCATCACCGACAGCAGTGTTGACCGACGTGCAGTTTGAAGCCCAGCCATGTCACTAATTACGTGTGCGTAACCTTTGGAAAATTAGTTAACCTTTCTGAGTTTCAGTATCCTGATCTCTAAATTGGAGAATTCTAGTAGTTCCTGTCTCCTAGTCCTAGTGTGAAGATAAGTGAGATGATGCACCTCAGACACTTAGAAATGGACCTGGAGGAAACTCATTGCAAGTTAGCTCTTGTTATTAGTAACCCATTGTCCGCCTGAAGATGTTTAAAGGCTTGCCGTTGGGAACCCCGCCCTTACAGGCGTGTCTCAGGATCCAGTCCTATGAAGGAGTCTGTCTGGTGTTCCTTGCATGGTCTATCTCTCTCTTCTCCAAACCTTGGTCTGGCTACGTCCTGAGCTCATGGTCCCTGTGTCTCTCCATGGGTCCTTATATCTGTCTTTAGCCTTGAGACTGCAGGAGCACCCTGTGGCCTATTCTAACTCCAGCCCGGAAACCTATGCCCCATCTCCGCTCTGGGCGGACTTCCTGGCTTCCTCCCACAACTTCCGGGCCTCTGTTGTTGCCAGTTGCCCTTAGACCAGGACATGGATGTTCATAAATGTTGAAGTGTTTCCAGAGGGAATTAGGCATGTGCAGGAAGTGAATGAACACCCTCTCGATGGTATATTATTTATAAACTGGGAGGTGGTATTGAATGGTGATTTGCCAGATTTTAGAATCATGAAGACCTAGGCTGGATTCCCAGCTCTGACTGTTATGACCTTGAGCAAAACACCCAACCTCTTTGTGTCTGTTTCCTCATTTATACCGCGAGGATAATTATATCTCCTGCATAGGAATCCTCATAGGAATGCTTGACGGGATTCTTTGTTCAAGGTCTTACAAGGCAAATGTCAAAATGTCCACTGGGCTGGGCTATTATCTTGAGGATCTGGGGAAGAATCTCGTCAGGCTCATTTACATCATCAAGTTCCTTGCAGTTGCACATCTGAGGTATCTGTTTTCCATCTGGCTGTTAGCCCAGGGGTCACTCTCAGCTCTTTGAGGAGGCTCTCAGGTCTTTTCTAGGTGGCCCCCTTCATCTTCGAAATTGGCAATGGTCCATCAAATCATTCCCGTGCTTTCAGTCTCTGACTTCTGCTACCACTTGGAGAAAACTCTTTGCATTTAAAAGCCTCCTGTAATACCTAGATAATCTACTTATTTTAAGACCAGCTGATTAGAAACCTTTATAACTTCTGCAAGATCCCTTCAAAGCAGTACCTAGATTAGTGTTTGAGTAAATAACTAAGGATTGGGAATTTTAGGATTCTGCCTACCACAACAGAGCTACCCTCCCCTGAAAAACTATCCCTCGAGGTCCTTGACTCTTGACGTTTCAGAGTGTTGAGAGGTATGGCCTCAGATTTCCCAGCTTCTTCCAGAAGATGCTGATATCCAAAGCCCTACATATTCTCATACAAGACAAGGCACCAAATCAGCCAAAAGAGTTACTGTCTGTCCCAGGAAATCCATCCTTCCAGAAAATTTCTATATAAACTGTATAAAAAGCAAATCTTAAAACTCTGACAGTAAGGATGCCACATTTGTCAACTATTCACACTGAGCTTATTTGTCCCAACTTCTGTCTTTGAGGAGTTAATGATCTATCTGGGAAGATGGGCAACTAAATAATTATAATTCAGTGAACTAAGTGCTGTAATAGAGTCATATAATATAATAATAAAAATATTCATAAGTCATATAACAGAGTCATATAATTTCTGGAATCAAAGACACCTTTGTACCACCAAATTCCAACAGCTTTCCGGGATATTAAGAATATCCTATTAAATGTATATGTGTCTAAAAATTGACAGTAGTGAATATTTGTCACTTGAATTACTTACTAGCCTGTTCTCTAAATCAAAGTTGGAGCCAAGCTTTTTGTGAAGAGTCTAACTCTATTTGACTCTACTAGCTATTTCTAAAGTGTGAATCTGTCATCAGTTCTAGCTCTGAAAGTCCTTTCTGACTTTCTGAGAAATGAGTTAAATGTGCACACCTGCAGGCAATGACAATTATGTTACATTTCCGTCTACAACTCTGCCTGGCTGCTGGTTAGTTTCTTTTAGTACTGATTGTAATGCCTATCCTGATCTTCAAAGTATTGAAATGTGAAAAAACTTGGGACTTATTTTTGAAGACATACTACAGTGCTGAAATGGTTTCCAAAGTGCTACTGGGAAATAAATAAGGAAGTAATTAATTTTGCTTAGGAGAGGAGGTGACGTTTAAGTTGGGTCTGGGAAGTTGAGTAGGAGTTTCCTAGGCAGATAAGGCTAAAAGGTATTCCAGGTAAAGAGAACCTCTATTAAGTTGCTTATCTGAAGCTATCCTATTAATCTTGCTCCACTCCCAAAAGACTAAATTTCTTGAGGTCATTGAGATCTAATTCTATCCCCTCAAATGATCACTTAATTCATTATTTTGCCACTTATTTTTATTTATTTATTCATTGTATATTTACTAACTTTATTTATATACTTATACTTACTGACAAACTAGTATTTTTGGGTAGCTCATTGTAGAAAACTTGGTAAATACAAAGAAGCAAATAAAATCCCACACAAATCCATTGTAATTCCATTACCTGGAGAAACCACTTTATATATCAGTGTATGTGCTTCAGGTCTTTTTTCTATTCATACGTACATCTTTATCTGTCTACCTGTGTACTTCTAAAGCAAAAATGTTATAATATATCAGCTCGTATTTTGTTACTGATCCTTATTTGTCTACCCAGGCTCCCATGGAAAGAAAGAATACCCAGGTCATAGCATTCTATTCTGAGTTGGCTGCATCTCCTGACCACAGCTAATTGAACTAAAGGATTGGCATCTACTCTAAGGGCAGCTCACCTGTGGGCATACCCATGGGGTAAAAAGATGAGGTGGGCCAATGGGCAACTGAGTTTATCCTCAGTGGAGCTGATGATGTAAGGATACCATGGCCTTGACTTCAGGCCATGGCAAGTCAAATAGAAGCGGGAGTCGTGAGCAGAAAAAATAAGAATGGAGGAAGCTGGTTGTCAAAGAGCGAAAGAGCACAACTGTGGAGAAGCAGAGATACCCAAAGGGAGAGAGCCATACCTTCCAGCTTCCGTCAGTCCTGTTTTTTCTTGCTCCAGTTCCAGTCCATATATATCTTTATTATAAATGACTCCCTTCTGGCCTTTTTTCCGGTAGGAGTAAAACAAGTGGGTCTCCATTCCCCGTAGACAGTCAAGCCTGGCCAGACTGCACATCACCACTGTTACGGCTGTAGAGCCTTCCATTGTGTGGAGGTGCCATTGCTGATTTTAAAAGCCCGGTGATGGGCATTTCAGACATTTACAATGAGCATATTCATTGTAACTCCGCAGGAGCTATTCATTGTAACTCCGCAGGAGCTACGTCTGCAGAAACCACTAGTCAAAGGCAATCTTAGTTGACTAGGTTAGAAACTGTCTTTTAACAGTTCTGTCTTTCAACTCAAAGAAGCTTTAGAATTAAGTGAAGAAAGACTTAATGGGGTACAAACTGTGGGATTAATAATAAATTGGGGTTAAGAAATACGTGCATATTTCACATTTTATGCACTTGAGATGTTTAAGAAAAATTAGTGACAACCTCATAACTGTTATTCTAAATGAATTATTGAGTTAGTTTTAGACTTAAGATTTTGAGTTGAAATCTTACAAAATTTACACATGAAACTGGGCTGTCTAAAAGAACTTTAGACTCATTATATTATCAGTTATTTGATTTATAAGGATTACTAAGCCTTGAAAAGGTCCTAGGTTAGACAATTGAAGAAATTAAAAATAAAATCGAATAAATTGAATTTATAGACATCATTTTAAATGTTTGAAGATGTAAGTCTGTAATGGGACCAAAAATTATTTGAAGTTTCTGAAAAGTGGTAAAATATGCTAGACTTATAATAAACAGAATAGGAAAATTTTTAAGTTGAATTTATAAGTTTAAGAAAGAACTAACTTTTGAATTTATTAATTTTTGCCCATATTTTAATGGGTATGTTTGTTTTTACAGGTTTTCAAGTATCCTACTTTAATATTTTTATGGAAAAGTGAATAAATTGGCTAAAGCAGAAAGCCTGGACAGGTTGTGAAGGGCATTATTTAGCATACCGAGAAACTGGGACCAGATCCTGAAGGGAGTAACAGGAAAAGAAAAATGTAAAAAGGAGGTACACAACTACATTTGCACTTTAGAAAGAACACGCTGGTGACTGAGGAGTTGGTTGGCAAAAGGGAGACTATAGATGAAGACAATGCAAATGGTGCAATCACAGTGGAGATGGAGACAAAAGCAAGACAATTGAGAAATAGCACTGTGCGCATGTAGGGCAGGAGGCAAGGAGACCCGGGCGGGACAGCAAACGGAGCAGTTCTAATAGAGAAGGTGCAGGAGCAAGGTCGGCGGCACGCATGTTGAATATGAAGTGTTTGTGGGATTCACAGGTGAACGTGCCCACTACTCGCCTGAAAATACTGAGCTGAGGTTTGTAGAGCGTCTGGAGATGCACATTTCGGTAGTTTAAGGGGAGCGTGGATAAAGTTACTAAGAATGGGCCAAGTCAAAACGGAAGAGGGCTGAGCCGGAATTGCGTTGAACACCAATTTTTAAGCGCAGGCCACAAGGTGCAAGGAAAAAGGAGCAGAGGCGGGGAATCTAAGGGAAGGAAGTTTGGGCAAGCAGTTCTGCGTTAGCATCCCTTCTCGAATGCTAGGGAGCTTGAGGAGCTCAAATCTGGCGACTGCGGGCTAATCTGGGAGCGGCGGAGGCCAGACCGCCAGGCTGCGCGGTCCCCACGGCAGTCTGGGTCCGGCTGGTGTCCAACAAGGGCACCTTGGACCATCTCAGGGGACGCCTTCCGGGAGCCCTTCCGCACAGCGTTGTTTAGCTCGGCAGGCCGGGGAAGGCAGGGGCCCACGCCTTTCAAGCCAAGCCGCAGCCGCGTTCGCAGCACGACTGGGCGGCGGCGGCTGGCAGGGGACCTCCGACCCTACTGGGGGGCGGGCTCAGCTCCTTCCGCTCCCGCAGGCGCGGCCGGGCCGGGGCGGGGCCGGGGCGGGGCCGCAGGGCGCGGCCGGGGGCGGGGCTTCAGAGTCCCGGGCAGCCCGCGCGCTCTGCAGGAGCTGCCGCCGCCCGCGCCTCCGCGGTCTCGCCGCTTCTTCAGCAGAGACCCGGGCTCGGCCGCCATGTCCGCCACGGAGGAGGTTGACGGGCTGGGCGTGGCCCGGCCGCACTATGGCTGTGAGTGCGGGGCCGCAGCGCGGGGCCGGGCTGGGCTCGCTGCCTCGGTCGAGGCGCCGTTTCCCGGGGCGGGCGGGGCAGGGCGGCGGGGGGCCTCGCGGACCCGGAAGAACCGGCGCTGCGGGGACGAGGGCGCGGCCCCCGGGCGGCGGGAGCACCCAGGCGGCCCCCGTCTGAGCCCGGGCGCGGCGGCCGGAGGGGCCACCCGGCGCCTCGCGCCTCCCAGCCCGCCCGAGACCGGGGAGGCGGCCTGGGTGAGGTGGCAGGAGGACGGGGCCGGGCGTGTCCCGAGGCCGGGGCCCGGCTCCGCTGGGGCCTCGTGGAGGCCCAGGGTCCGGCCCTGCCCGGCCCTGCGTGAGTCACTTCAGCCTCTGGAAGGAGCTCAGTTCCCTCGTCAGGATTTCAAAAGTAAAAATAAATGAAAACCCTCTGACTTCCTCATTTTCTGAATCTCATTATCTGTGGCTGCCCCTGGGACGACCCTGAGCTGCGGGCGGGATAGTCCCACTGGCCAAAGGGGAGTCCTTTGGAGTCTTAAGGTTATCCACTTTATTTTACATTCTGGGAATAATATTCTGTCTTTAGGATAATTTCACCCAACGGTTATATGTGAGGTATTGTGTCATGTTTGTGAAATTGAAGATGAGTAATACCAGGCCCGGCCTTCAAAGAACGTTTCAGAGAAACAGGCAGGTGTACAGCCTAATACTGTAGGGTTTGATAAAGATACGAGATGCGTGACCTGACTGGGCGTAAACGGCAACGCGGGCGAGGAAGAGCTTGGGGCCCGCAGGTAGTGACATGTGAATGGAGCCTTGCAGGGCGCTGTGTGAAGTCCGACAGTCTCGCAAGCCTGTGAGAGACAAGGCTTGATCAGCGAAGAGTGCGAAATGAGGTCTGGAAGAGTCGACAGAGCGCTGTGGGTTTTGGGAACTGAGCGGTGTGGGGGCACAGGTGTGGAAAGAAGGGTGGCAGGGAGAGGGAGGGGTTCCCCAGAGTAGCTGGAGCTAAGTAGGGAAAGGCCTTGAATGCCATCCCAAAGAATTCAGAATTCATTCCATACCCTGAATGCCCACGAAGAGGGCAGTTTGCTTCAAAGGTAAGCTCACAGACTTCTGAGACAGACTGCCTGGGCCCTTGGGGCTAACATCAGCCAGCTTCGATTTCCCCATCTGTAAAACGGGAGTGATAATCACGGAACTGTTGTGGGGTTTTTATAAGGGAGTGCATGTAAAATGCTTAGCACAGTGACCGCCACTTGGGTTCTCAGTGACGACTGGCTTTGGAAACAATATGATTAGCTCTGTATTTAGAGAGTCTGGCAGATAGACCAGGACAAATTTGGCCACATTTTCAAGTTACACTAAAATTAGTACATGTTCATATTATGGTACTTTTTTTAAAAAGGGTAAGATGAATACAGTTGAAATCCTGTAGTTTCTGTTGTGGGAAATTTATTATAGCGCGTTTGGGTGTCTTCACATCCACAGGCTACTCCTCTGGTGACCAGCAGGAGTTTGTTGCTGTGGCGTGCTTTTATTGCTCAAGGCTGCAGGTTCTTGCATTTACATTCATTCTTTCATGTTTTAGCTGTCCTGGATAATGAGAGACTCACTGCGGAGGAGATGGATGAAAGAAGACGTCAGAACGTGGCTTATGAGTACCTTTGTCATTTGGAAGAAGCCAAGAGGTAAGGGTTGACTGGCTGGAGAGCAGATCGGCAAAGGGAAGCTGACGCAGTGTGAACACAGATAAAGATCTCTGAGTATGTGGTAGGCGCGACTGTGGGAGCCTGTGGTTTGAAGGAGTAAGTATAGGTGGGCTATTTATTCATGGGAGCGAGTAGTCCTGATGGCAGCTTGCCGTGAAACACTCTGGTGGGCACTTATGTACACTGAAAAATTTCCAGATTTGTGTTGTTAAGTTTAATGCTTATGGTACGTGTTTTGGGCACTACCAGCTGTAGGGGAAAAATAGCACGTTCAGAGTTTGAAGTTCTTTTCCTTATTTCATTGGTTCTTCACTGCTTTTGATTTATATATGAACTGGGTCTGTTCTCCTCTTGGTAGTGCTGTGGGTATAGGTCCATCCATTTGGCAATATTCAAAGTTTACCAAAGGCAGTATCCTCTGCCTTTTGTGTAAGGTGATTGATGTACAGCTGCTCTTTTCCTTGTGGTCATAATAGTGTCAATTTGCTATCAGTGCTTCATTTCTTTTGTTCTGGTGCCTGTGTTCCTTAGCAGGGTCCCAGGTAGATAGATGTATTTATAAATCATGTCCCCTACAGTGAGCACTGGTAGAAAGGCCTGCAAGGAATATGAACGGTATTTGGAATTAAAGTCTAATGAAAATCAAGGATGTTTCAAACTGCTAATAAACATGAGTGTTTTTATTTTTTTAATTATGAGAATAAAACACTCCAGGAAAGTCCAGAGAACAATAACAAAACATCCGTCTATTCCAGAACAAATGTTAGCCCTTCAGATATTTCCCTTTCCTCTCAGAAGACACAGTTGGAGTCCCCGCCATGCCCTTCCCCCCCCTGCCCTTCCCTGGCACTACCACTACCATGCATTTGGTGTCTTCTTGAATCCAGGCTGCTTTTCTGAGTTTAAAGGCCTTCCTAGAGACCGGAGCGTTGGTGACTGGGTGGGGATTAGTGATGTTTTAGGTGGGGCGAATGATAACAGCCTGCATTTTTCTAAGTGGAAGGATAGACGGTAGTTTATTTCTCATACAAAGTTTGTAAGGGTCCTGTGGACTAGATCTAGTTTTGGAAGGTCAGAGCATTTGAAAGTTGGAACTGGCATGAGAAGCCAGTGGTACTCTGGGAAGCCTTGGTGCCCCTGTTGGGGTAACCTGGGGACAAGAGGAAAGAGCCCCAACTTGCCTTCCTTCCCACACCTAAAACAGTTCACTTTTTGTTTTTTAATATTGGATTTCCACAATATAATTCCCTTTTTTCAAAGGGTGTCTTGGCTAAGATCTTGCTACCAGTAAGCTAACTCAGCTACTAATTCAGTTTAACCATCTCATTTCAGTGAGTAAACTGAGGCCTGAGTTTTCATGGTCTTGTAGTTTTGTTGATTGAGAATAGTTTTCATCATTTTATACAGTGGTTCTTAACCAACTATGTGCATTAGAATCACCTGGGGAACTTTACAGAAAGAACGAGCTCTCTGGGACTTAACCCAGAGATTCTGGTTCAGTAGATCTGGGCTGGAAGATCCAGATGCCTGTATACTTTAAATGAAATGCTTCCAGTGGTTCTGATGGGCCCCTTCATTGAGAAGCAAGATTTAAAGCATTTCAGAATTCTGACTTAATGCTGAGTTGTGAAGCTTGTACAGAATGTTGCTCTTCACATTTCCTTTGTCAGGTGCTGCCACCAGCAAGGTACTTCATTCCTGTCTACTCTAGAGCATGTTCTTTTCTGTCAAGTGTTTTTTTCAGAATGGGAAAGTAGCCCATTTCCTTTAAAACCATCCAGGGGGCATGATCCCCTGGGGTGTTTTTCAGTTGGGTGCTTTTGTGTCCTAAGGAAGTGACTAAGGCAGTGAGACATTTGTGGTAGTCCTTATTTTTTATGCTTTGGGTTCTAAGGGAGGCCATAATAGTGCCATATTGCCCTGCACACACTGTGCATTGGCCTGGTGTAGTGGAAATGTGCTTGGTTTATTTTATGGAGGCAATCCTGTAAAATCTGGATGTGGTGATTCTTTTTTATTTAAAGCTTTGATTAGAAAACAAACTTGGGAAGCACTTTTTAGATTTTACAACTGGGGGCTAGGTAAAGAGGCCTGGGAATGTCATGCTGAGAAAAGACTGGGATCCTTACTGGCCTCCTAATGTGACTGCTGCCACCCCTACAAAGTGTTGGAAGTGCGCCACAGATAAGTCACATGCTCTTCCTTATTAGCTGGGGCTTCAGCTCCCAGTCGTGGCTCCTACCCTGGTGAGCTGGGCTGTACCTCCTTTGCTGCTTGGGCCCCACTTTCCTCTTTAGCACAAGTCCAATTTGTCCTTCTGGACCGGCCCCATCCTTTTTCCTTTATAACCTCCACCCCTCCCAAGTTGGAGGAGCCCCAAGGTCTGGAATCTACACCCTCTCCAAGGCCGGGAAGAAAGATCAGAAAGATCCCAGGGAGAAAAGGTTCCCCTCTTTAGTTCTATTTATACCTCCACTCCTCCCACTGCCGGCTCCGCCTCGGAGCACAGCGGCCGCATTGTGTGTCCTTAGGCACTCTGTTTTCTCCTGTACCTGTACAGGAGCTCTTCCTGGGAAGAGAGGAGAGTGAATACCAGTGTGTGGAGACTGAGTGTAAGGGTGTGTGTTGAGAAGTGAGAGGGAGTTGTGGGTTTGTGTTTCTCCAGAAGTTAAAAGGGACAGTTTAGGGGCGATTCCATAAAAGTGCACTGGGAGTGATTGGGAAATAGAAACTGTAGAGATTCAGCTTTTCTCTGTTAGATTAGCATCAATGTAGAAATTAAGTTCTTGTTCTAATGAAGTATCATCTAAGACTCAGGGCTTTTGCTAATGGCTGCAGAGCAGACCAAGGACTTCCAATGTGGACTTGGTTTTGTTCTTTTGCCTGTTCTGATGACTTTTACGTTTGTTTTGGCCAAGGAGCCCTTGTGTAGTAGAGATGAACAGCATTTTCATTCAGTTGAAAGTGGTGGGATTTAAATGTGAGGTATGGGTGCTCAGGTCTTGGACAGGAGGAGGAAGTAGAAGGATCTGAAGGTTCAGGTGAGGAGAGCCTGTCAGGCAGGGCAGAGCAGGGCAGTCTGCGCAGGAGAGTGTAGGAGCAGTGCTGGAGGTGGGAGGAAACCCAGTTAAGTTAAAGGCCATAGGAGGAAGGTTAATTGCGGCACTCTCTGAGTCCCATAATTTCGGATTCCTTTTTCCAGAGGCTTGCTGGTGTGCCCTTTTGACTTTCATGGGCCACCTCCCTCCTGTTCAGTGTCTGTACCGTAGCTCAAGGAACACCTGCCTTGTAAAAGAAAAGTACAGCTGTGTCTGGTTGGAGATTGTCAGAAACTGTGTGGGGTTAACAAGGGCATAGCACTAAATAGAGACACTTAACCTTCTCTAAGGGAATTGAAAAAGTATCTTGGAAAGAAATCAGTTCTTGAGAAAAAAATTCTCTTTTGTACGTATGTCTGTTGTTGGTATCAAATATTTTCCAGGACCATCTCTTTAGATCTCTAACTGGGATCAGAATTCCAGTAACATCTGAATCTGTTCAGGCTGGCACACTTTGGTTGTACAAACAGAAGTTAAAGACATTTAAGAGGCATGAAAATGATAGGTGAGGTGACTAGGAAAAACAGCTTGTCCACCAGCTTCTAGAATTCTCAAATGGAGGAATAATAAAGATTGAAGGGGATCCTGTTAGGAGGTTGACCTAAGCTCTCCTTTTACAGAAAGGAAAGCTAATTTAATTGCTTCTTGAGACCAAGTGTATGTAGTTAAGGGGCCACATAGGACGTAGCACATTGGGACCATGAGCTGGATGCATTTGTGTATTTATAATCATATCAAGGGGAAGTACGGGGAGGGGTTTATTCTTAACTCTTAAAATGGTGACATAGATGAAAACCTCTGTACTCTTTTCTGAAAATAACCTTAGTGCAGCTGCCTTGGACAGACTCCCTGATAAGAAGTGGGTTGACTTTAAAAGTGTATTTGTTAAAGTGGTTCAAACTAAGAGTGGTTTTTCACATAGTAATAATGTTGCAAACAGGAAGATTAGTCCCTAGCTTGGCCACTTTTTACAGCTTTTACCCTAAAGTGTAGCTGAAACACTTAGAAAACTTACAAGAAGAAATGTGGAGAATAACCTTTATATATTAGGCATTCAGTTAGTAACTATTATTATTATTAAGAAAAATCATATGCTGTAATCTCATGTGCTTATAATTAAAACAAATTTTAAAACTCTGAATAAAAAGTCCTTGAATGACTGTTGAGATACACGAAGTGGAAAAAATGGGGACTTTCAGTTTTGGCAGGTGTGAGTTCTGGTTCTGGTTTTATGAGTTGTTTTTTGAGTCCTTTGCAGAATGGAGATACTGGGCATCCTACAGATGCTTCAGGGTTCAGGACTGGGCACAGTGTCTGAAATACAGTGGGCAGTCAGTAAATGAGCTCTTTCCTCATCCTTGGGACAGAAGCAGACGCGATATGAAGATGATGCAGCCTTAATAAACTTTACTGTGGGATTTTTTTCCGGGACTTTCATGGTCCTCCAGATTGGCAGCCCTAGTTTTTCACCTCAGACTTAAGCTTTTGTCTGAAAAGGATACACCGGACAACAAAGATACCTTTAGGGAGTGGAATGAGGGTGGAGGGTGTGAGAAGATTTTTCCTCTTTATTTAATGCCCTTTGGTATATTTAAAATGCTTTTTATAGTGATCATGAATTTTATAATAAAAAAGGAAAGTGTTAAGGGAAAAGAAAAACTCTCTTAAGTACATGTACATAATTTTTAGATAGTTGTAATCACAAATTTAGATTTTTAAATTGTATTATTGTCTAAATTACTATTTTCAGTGGTTGCATAATTTCCATTATTTAGGCTTATTCCAATTTAAAGTTTTGGTTGCTGAAAAGGTTAAACTGTTTCCTGCATATTTATTGACCAATTTTATTTTATTATGCAAATTGTTGATGATAAACTGGAA